CTTTCTGATTTCAGAAACATTAAAATATGTGCATCTGAAAATTGAGGAAATGTGGTGATGCCTACTTCCCAGGGCTGTGGTGAGGGTTAAATGTGATTATATAAGAGAATATAACTTCACACTGTCAAGTGTTCAATGCAAATATTATTACTTGCTCACCTTCCACATGGCACAGCCTTGAAGGACATACTTGTGACTTGAAAAGAAAAATACGTCCTTCAACTTGGGGCTCAAATTTCTTCATGTGAGTCATTTCTTTAGGTGGGTATGTCATTCTTAACAACAGCTATTATACAAAGACTTTCAGAATCGGAAAGAAATTGAAAATTCAATTAGTTCTATCCCTAAATTTTGTAATAGAAAAAGCCTGAGGATTAGAGAAATAAAATGACTCCTCTATATACATGACACAGATGGGACAGAAAGACGATGTCTTATAGATGATATTGACAATTGTTAGTAATTATGGTTCTCTACAGTGACGCGTTCAGAGTTAGCTGTGTAACTTCTGTTCATATAAAGCAGCTGTAGGAGGCCAATCCACCTGTAGGGTTTACAGCTAACTTTACTCAAAGAATTTGGTCTTCGTCCTTGATTCCTGAGAGAGAATCTCCAATACCTTAAGATCTCTCCAGTGATTGCAGTGTCTCTGATGAGGGCTCCAGACCACACCTACCTAACAAATTATGCTAATGAGATGACTCCTGAGTGGGGGCTAGCCGGGACAGAAAGGCCCATCACATGATATCAGCCTGACCTCAGGGAAGGGGTGCTGGAGGTTGAGTTCAATCAATCACGCCTATGTAATGAGGCCCCGATAAAGCTATGGACACGGAGCTCCCTGGGCTTCCTGGTTAGTGCAAGATACAGGGTCATAGGGGAGAGTAGTGCATCTTTTGGGACATGGAAGCTCCATATTGGGGACCTTCCTAGACCTTGCCCTTTGTGTCTCTTCATTTGTATCCTTTTTGCCACAATAAAACAGTAATCATAAGTATAGTGCTTTTCTGACTTCGGTGAGTCACTGTAGTGAATTATTGAACCCGAGGAAGTGATTAGAGGCAGTACTGTACATCAGAAGTGAAGGAGCCCTGGTGGCACAGTGGTTACGCGCTCAGCTGTTAACCAAAAGGTCAGCCGTTCGAATCCACCAGCCCTTCTCAGGAGAAAGGTGTGGCAGTCTGCTTCCATAAAGATTTACAGCCTTGGAAACCCTGAAGGGCAGTTCTATTTTGTCCCTATAGGGTCACTATGAGTCAGAATTGACTCGACAGCAATGGGTTTTGTTGTTGTTGTTGTTTTGTCTTGTTTTATGTCAGAAGTGAAGGAGGCCCTGGGAATCCCAGAGCTTGTGGTTGGTATCCTGAAAGGATAGTGGGCAATCTCCAAATTGGTAACTAGCAGGTCAGAAGTGAGACTGTCATGGGGACCCCCAAGCTTGTAGCTGGTGTCTGAAGTCTTGGGCAGACTTGGCAGCCTGGAAGACTGTGTTCTTTAACTTATGAGGTCTGACTTAGCTCCAGGGATTGGAGGAAGAAGTGTTACTTGTGCGGTTGGTGTCAGAACAGAATTGGATTGATGCATTCATTCAGTTCGTGTGAGAAGTGGGATTTGATTGACCGACTCAGTGTAAGATGCCAATCCCCCAGAAAAGCTAAGCTGATTTAGGTCACGGAATTAGGGTGATGAGAATGGATGGCTTGTGAGAAATACATAGGTGTAGAAGTCTGATGTATTAGATGAGCTTCCTCCCCAAGGAAAATTAAATTCAGCTAAGCCTGAGTGACAGAATTGTTCAAATTATAAGCTCTTCTGTACAGGGAAAAGATTTACATGCCCCTCCACAAACCTCCCCCTCCCCAAGCATTTTACCTTAGCCTGAAACAACAGAGCAGAGTGGGTCTTAGGCATATATCTGCTGGTCGGGGGCAGGACTGTTCACAGTAGAACCATAAGAGGTTATGATGTTCCTTGTACTCACCAGGAGCCTAGGCTGGGATGGGCTGAGTGATTATACTGCTAGAATCACAAGAAATGCATCTTTAAGTGCATTCAAGTACAGAACCACCTGTACCCATGCCACCGCATTTCTGCCATGAAACCGTAAATTTCATAGCAACTTTCTTGAAAGCTTATGAATGTATTGTAAGCTCATTGTGGCTTATCTATAGACAGCAGATTAGGATGGGTTTGTCACCATCTCCCATCTGGGGATACTGATGCCTGGTTAAATAATTGCTCTATGTCCCTGTAAGTGAGGGGACATACAGTCAGGTCTTCTAACTCTGTATGATGCTCTATCTGGCACTAGATTGGCCTGCTCTTCAACTCGGAGGCAAAGGGTGTTAGACAAACTGGAAGCAAGCTGCTCAGCAATGGGCAAAGCTGAGCTTAAGATTCATAAGAAGCAGAAAATATAATCAGTATTTACAATGACCTCATTTAGTTCTCACGCTTGAGATAAGTATTATCTTAATACTCATTTAACAGACGCAGGATCCAAAACTAGGAAAACATAACCAACTTTCTCAAGGTGTGGCGTGTTATGGTTAGCTGCCCTGGAGTCGGCCCCCCAACTCATGGGGACCCCATGCACAACAAGATCAGACTGTTGTGATTCTAGGGTTTTCACTGGTTGATTTTCAGAAGTAGATTCCCAGGCCTTTCTTCCTAGTCCATCTTAGTTTGGAAGCTCCGCTGAAACCTGTTCAGCATCACAGCAACAGGCAAGTCTCCACTGGCTGACTGGTGGTAGCAGTGCATGAGGTGCATTGGCCCAAATACAAGCGGGTCTCCAGCTTGGAAGGCAAGAGTTCTACCACTGAATCACCAATCCTCCCCCTCACCCGCCACCAAGGTGTGGTCAATAAAGGAACCAAAGAAGCCAAGACAAGTCCTGACTCCCAGGGTTCTGTATTGCTTACTGTCAGGGGTGCATCGTCACACCCCTCTCCCAGGTGGTCAACTTGCAGGCTGCCCCGCCCAGAACCAGAGCCTCGGGAACTGCTGCAGCTTCCTGCAGCTGCTGATCAGCCCCGCCAGCAGCGCTCCCTCGCCCAGTGACTGGCAGACGCCAAGGATCATGCCTTGGGCTTCAGTGCCTATCTTTAGTCTTCGTTTGGAGTACCGGAGCGCTCGGGGAAAAGTGGGAAGTGTCACTTCTATATTCATGTCGTTTTTAAACAAATGATTTCCTAATTTGTGTCTGTTTCACGCCAGTGAGAAACTTCCGTAGGCATAGCCGGCTGCGCTGTGAGCGCTTTCCTTCTGCTCTCCCCACCCAGCCATTCCTCTGCCTCCTCCTACACATCCTTCCCTTGGCATCAGTGGAGCAGACGAGACAGCCGGGGCCGCGGGGTGGGAGGCTGTTCCCGCCGTTCGTGGCTGGCGTTTGAGAATGTGAAGATTTTTCCATTCATAAAACGTACATCCTTGCTTGCTGGTTTCCCGCCCTCCCCACACCGCCACATCCTCAACCAGTTTAAGGCCAGGTCCCAAGTGCTCTCTCTGTTCCGAGGGGGGAAGGGCCTAAAGCAGCAGGTTCTCGCGTTGCACACGGGCGCCCCATTTTTGTAAACCCCACCTCGCGTCCTTGCTTAGTCTGTATAGATGACTGACATCGACCGCGGATGAGCGCCTTTGGTTGAAATGAAGAGACAAAATGGCTTATGGTTCAAGCCATAAATAAAACCTCGCCCTTTGACTCCAGGCTGTCCGACATTTTCTGACTTGTATTTTTTTTACTGAAGCATAGATTTAGGAAGCGACTGCCTATTCATGCTGCCTATTCATTTCTAAACGACTGCCTTTTTAGGTCCCTGTGTTTATTCTGGTTGGGGGTGGGGCGGGAGTGGACAAGGCAGATGATGGGAGGAGCGGGGAGGAGCAGGGAGTTGCACTAATTCAAGATGCAATATCCATCCAATCCAAATAATGGATTGTTATTAACAATGATCCTTTCTGCGAAACCCTTAAAATCGCCTCTTGACTCCCTCAGCAGTAAGAGGCGAACCCTTATTTGCTGAGCTGACGCTTCGTCCCTCCTCCTCTCCATTACTCTCTGCCTGGAAATTACAACTCCGCTGCGCGCCGAGCTGGGAGGAGGAGGCGGCGGCGGCGGGAGGGAGTCGGGGAGGGGATTCCCGAGCCAGCCTGGCGCTCGCCCTCCTCCTGCTCGCTGCATCGTCGCGCTGCCAAGGTCAGAGGCGCCGCAGGAGCAGCGGCTGCAAACCAGGGACGCAGGTCAATCTCGGTCACGGGGAGAAAGCTCCGCGTGCAGTCGGCCCCGCGTCAGCAGAAGCCGGGGAGGGGGGCGAGCCGCACTGTCCCGGGCCGCGCAGAGGTGCCAGCGGCCGCAGCGTCTCGGCTGGTAGCGGCCCCCTTGCCAGCACAGCCTGGAACGTAGGCTTCCACCTTTCTTGCCCGGGCGCTGTCCACCGCCTACTGGTGCTGAACCAAGTCCCACGACCGAGAAGCTTGCGCACCGGCCTGCTCACCTACCAATCGGCCCCGTTTTGAGGGGAGGAGCAGATTAAAAGGGAGCATCTGGGCAGCCGGCTGCCCACTGGAGCCGAAGGGTTGAAACAAGAGAGCTAGCAATCGGCAGCCCGGCGGCTGGTCCTCATGTGGAGAGGAGGAGCGCTCTGCAGCCGCTGGTGGCGCTCGTGCTGATTCATCACAGAGAGCGCTTTGGCAGGCCACGGTCAGGGCAGCAAGGTGGGACTGGCTCCAGACTCTGACCGCGGGTTGAAGCCTCTGGGTGCAGGATCCTCGCGGGAAGGTGAGGATCCCCCTCCCCTCTCTTTACCCTAGTCATCTTAGGGCGGTGGCCACAAGACACAGAGAGAGGGGCGTGCCCTCTGGTTGTAAAGCAGGCATGCCTGTGTGATGCCCGCTGCCTCCTGGCTCACCGGTGCTAGCCACACTTATCCTCCGTCGCCGCCTCTCGAGCTTCGACCATTCCCACCCTCCCCTGAGCAACTAGGGCCGCCCGCGCTGCCATGGAGGAGGAGCTGAAGTGTCCAGTGTGCGGATCCCTGTTTCAGGAGCCCATCATTCTGCCCTGTTCTCACAACGTCTGCCTGCCTTGTGCTCGCACCATCGCCGTGCAGACCCCGGACAGCGAGCAGCACCTCTCCCAGCCGCTCCTGCACACCCGGGGCTCGGGATTGCCGGCGGGCGCCGCCGCTGCGCCCCCTTCGGACTACGACTCGGCTACTGGCCCTGCCTGCAGCGGCGGCGGCGGGAGCGCAGCTGGTGGCCTTAGCGGCAGTGGCGGCGGTGCAGGAGGCGGCGGAGACCACGCGGACAAGCTGAGCTTGTACAGCGAGACAGACAGCGGCTATGGCTCTTACACTCCGAGCCTCAAGTCTCCCAACGGAGTTCGCGTGCTACCCATGGTGCCCGCGCCCCCCGGCTCCTCGGCCGCCGCGGCTCGGGGCGCCGCCTGCTCCTCGCTGTCCTCCTCCTCCTCTAGCTCCATCACGTGTCCGCAATGCCACCGCAGCGCCTCCCTGGACCACCGCGGCCTGCGCGGCTTCCAGAGGAACCGGCTGCTGGAGGCCATAGTCCAGCGCTACCAGCAGGGCCGCGGGGCCGTGCCAGGGGCGTCCGCAGCCGCGACTGTAGCCATCTGCCAGCTGTGCGACCGCACCCCGCCAGAGCCGGCCGCCACGCTCTGCGAGCAGTGCGACGTGCTCTACTGCGCTGCCTGCCAGCTCAAGTGCCATCCGTCCCGGGGACCCTTCGTTAAGCACCGCCTGGTGCAGCCGCCGCCGCCTCCAGCGCCCGCGGAGGCTGCCGTTGTCCCCCCCAGCGCGGCCCAGGGCGCCCCCAGCGGAGGCGGTGGCTGTAAGAGCCCAGGAGGCCCCGGGGCGGCAGGGACCAGCGCCGCTCGCAAGTTCCCCACCTGCCCAGAGCACGAAATGGAGAACTACAGCATGTACTGCGTGAGCTGCCGAACCCCTGTGTGCTACCAGTGCCTGGAGGAGGGCCGGCACAGCAAGCACGAGGTGAAGCCCCTGGCGGCTATGTGGAAGCAGCACAAGGTGAGCAGCTGCTGGGCAGAGCGCGGGCAGCAGGGGGCGCCGCAAAAGAAGAGAGTGCGAGGGAGAGGGATCCTTGGTCTTTTCCTTCGAGAGCTGGCAGAGAACCGGCCAGAGATAGAAGCAGGGCTTAATTCATTCATTCATTCCTTCTGTCAGTCAGTCATTTGGCAAACACTTAGAGAACGCCAGGTACTGTGAGCTGGGTGTTGGGGATGGTAAGGGATGGGAAAATGACTTACTAGGTCTCCTCCCACCTGAGGTTTTATGATTCGTCACAAAGCGCAAAACCCAGAGGTAGATAGCCCCGCCTGAGTTAAAGCATCCAGACCCTCTTCCTCCTTCTGAAAAGACTATTTTTTGAACTGCATGTATTACTACTGCTGCAGGAAAATGTCTGATGCCTTCCTGCAATTGGTTAATCTGCTCTCAAGGAAGGAAGGACTCTCCCAGCCCTCTCTTGAAGGAATGCACTATTTCCTGCAGAGTAGAACCCCTATCGGCTTCCAGAGGAGAAAATTTCCTATTCTCTCAACTTGTCTCTGGCACCTTCTACCCCTAGAAGCCTTCTAAGTAGAGAGGAAAGATGTGACTCCTCATGGACCTTGTGGTGCCTCAAGTCTGTTGAGAATTTGGGTGTGTGCCCTTTTAAGAAAGGAGTGTCGTTTTCCCCAGAGACTTTCTCTTACTCGGTGATTCTGCCACTCCGGGGCAGCAGCAGTGTGAGCAGTGTGGGGGAGTGTGCAAAGTAAGCTCTTGGTAAGACAAACCCTCACCCCTGCAGGCTGCACACAGGCCTTCTTCCCCAGGGATTTCCTTGAAGGGGGTGTGCTACTCCCCAGGCGGAAATGGAACACTCCCTAAAGACAGCTTTCATGAACTTGTAACTGATAGTGTATCTGATACCGAGAGACAGAGAGAGGTCCGAAATTATCCAGGCCCTTCATCAGGCCCCTTGGCAAAAGTGGGATCAGTTCTTCTGACTAATTTCCCACCAGAAAGCCTAAGCTGAGCAACTGAACTCACTGCCACCAGAGATCAATGAGCCAGACCTGGAAGAATTAGAGACCCTTGTTCAAGGACCTGTAACTGCATTTGCAAATTCAGACACCTATCATTCTGTGGCTTCTTTCCAGTAAACTATCACCTTCCCCCCCCTAAAAGAGGCAAGAGGTCTCCATACTGCCCAATCAGAAATATGTATTCTGATTGAGGAGGAAAACACAGAAATTAAAGCAATTTGTCAAGGCTTGTATCACCTATCCAATGGGCGAAAAGAAGAGCACAGATGAAAGGAAATGAAGAGATCAGCTGTTCCTGTATAGACTTGCTGTAGACATGTACATGGCATATATATAGCATATATGTGCTGTACACTATACACGTTGTTGTTGTTAGGTGTCGTCAAGTCAATTCCAACTCTTACTGACCCTATGTACCACAGAACGAAACACTGCCTAGTCCTGCACCTTCCTTACAATCCTTGTTATGCTGGAGCCCATTGTTGTAGCCACTGTGCCAATCCATCTTATTGAGGGTCTTCCTCTTTTTCACTGACTCTCTACTTTGCCAAAATATACCATATATATTTGTTGATAGAGTCGCTATTAGTTGGAACTGACTCACCAGCACCTGACAACAACATACATACATACGTAAGTAAATTATATAAAGTTCCTATATGTAATTTTGAAGGAGCCCTGGTGGTGCAATGGTTAAGCAGTCGGCTGCTAACCTAAAGGTCAGTAGTTCAAACCCACCAGCTGCTGCTTGGGACAGACCGGTGATCTGCTCCCAGAAATATTATAGCCTAGGAAACCCTATGGGGCGGTTCTATTCTGTCCTACAGGGTCACTATGAGTCCAAATCGACTCAACAGCACATAACAACAATATATATAATTTCATCAGCTACAATAAGCATATGTATGTACTGTAATTTAACATTTTTAAGTCTTTATGGAAGCAGACTGCCACTTCTTTCTCCTGCAGAGTGGCTCCTGGGTTCGAACCACCGACCACTTGGTTAGCAGCCAAGCACTTTAACCATTGTGCCACCAGGCTCCATGCTTGGTAAAGTAGAGGGTCAACAAAAAAGAGGAAGACCCTCAATGAGATGGATTAACACAGTGGCTTCAACAATGGGTTCAAACATAGCAAGGATTGTGAGGATGGCACAGGACCCAACAGTGTTTTGTTCTAAGTGGGGTCGCTATGAGCCAGAACTGACTCAAAGGCACCTAACAACAACAACATTTTTTAAACTTAAAAAATGGAAAAGAAAACAAATGGGGGATACTGTAGAAATCTACCCTGGAAAGGGAAATTTTCATAAAAGTTCAGAAGAAGGGCCATCCAGAGTCAAATCTTAGTTCTAGAGCAGTAATTCTCAGCCAGAGATGATCTCCTTCCACATCCCTCACAGGGACATTTGGCAATGTCTAGGGACAATTTTGGTCGTCATAACTAGGGGATGCTACTGGCATCTAGTGAGTAGGGGCCAGGGATGCTACATCCTACAGTTCATAGAAACATCTTCCTAAAAAAAGCAATTATCTAACCCCAAATGTCAATAGGTGCCTCTTTTGAGAAACGCTGCTCTACAGTTACAGAGACCTGGATCCAAATCTCAGGGTTTGCAATTTACTAAGCTGTGTGAGTTTAGGCACAGATTTTAAATGCACTGATGAATAATAAGTAACTCAGATAACTGTTGTAAAGATTAAGTACAATACTACTGTATGTTTAGTCTCTAGCACAGTATCTGACCCATAGTAACTAATAAATGTTATTTATTATTTTTATAGTCTTAATATTTAAAACCGCTAGACTTGCAAATACCTACAGAGCCTCAGTAAAGAGCACTTATTTTACCTCACTGAGCTTTCCTCATTGGTTATCTGGAGAAAACGTGCGCTAGTCATTTGTGATGTTGCTAATGCAGAGTCCTAAAATAGTTTTGTTATTTATCACTTATATTTTGTTGCATATTGTTTCACAGTAATTGTAACTGCTTTACTTATTTCATCTTTTGAGTGAAGAGACATTGTTTTACAAATGAAGAAATCATTTGCAAAGAGACTGTGATCAATTACCAAGATATGAAGTGTAGATTCTAAATCTAAAATTCAGATTTCATGAGCTGTTAAATTTTCACAGCCTAGAGGGCTAGAACTAGTGCTGAGTGTTGCCACCCAAATCTTTAGAATTAGTGAAGAGGAGAAACTAACATGAGTTGAGACAAGAGTTTACAATCTTAAGAGAGACTGAGCCTCTTACATGAAAAAGTGAGTTGGATAAATGGGGTATGGTTTCCAGAACCAAGGTTGTGCAGGGAAAATCACGGATCATCCTTGGTTTGGCACCAACAACAGTTTAAAAAAATTCTGTCCTCAACCAACATTGCAGTTATGAGGAAATATAGAAAGTACATGTGATCTCTGTATCTGTTCAATAGAGAGGGGCAGTGTAACCCATAATCACCTGTGGGAAACACGGCTATGCAGAATCTTGGGTGTCAATTTTAAATCTCTATACTTCATGGAAGAAGCTATGAGACACTTTTGTGAAAGCCTGTTTTCAAGAATGAACAGAAAGCTCTGCTGGTCTCCTTCAGCAGGTGCTGTTTTCCTACAGAAAGGGAAATTATTGAGTGCTTATTATGAGCGTCTCAACTCGGGGCTGGGATGCAAAAGAAAAGGTAAAGGAGGACACCCTGGTAGAGCGCATGGTCTTGCTTTGAGGGCAGAAGAGTAGACCACCCTTGTGAGTTGTGAGGGTGGCTACTTTTGAAAGATAAGCTAGAATGCTCAGTTTCCGAGCATTTCCCACTGTGGCAGTTTGAGTTCTTTAGTAAAACTTCAAGTCTCTGGCTTTTTTTGTTGTTGTTGTTATCTAAAAATCCCAGGCCAAGCCTCGTGTGGTAGCAGAACTAAAATTGGGGCATGAGCATTCTCCCAACATTGCTCTGACTGGGAAGCCTTCATCACGCCTTCATTCCTTTCTGGTGTGACTGGGACTCACCATCTGATTAGGAATTCTTTGGTAAAGAGGCCTCTATGTAACACTTAAGTTTATTGTAAAATAGGACTGATTGTCACCTTTTAAAAACTGTGTGAAAAACTTTAGAGCTTGGCTAAACACATTTGTATGTGATTCTTCTAGAAGAGGATTAACCATTTCAAAGGACCTCTGACCGAAGAAACTGTATATTGTGAAATACAAGACAGGAAAGGACATAGGGCAGCTTTCCACAACAGCGTTGGGCTTTTTGCCTGTTGGTTACGGAGTTCTAGTTTTCTGAAGTCAGGGAAGGTCGCTGTGTCCTGTATCTCTTCTCCAGTTTGACAGGTCACTGGATGTCAACAGTCTCCTGTCAGTCCTGCTCTAGAGAAGATTCTGACCTGTTTGGAACAATTAATTGATCCTGAATTAAAACAGGTAGAAGTTGATTCCTGAACTGAGGTTTGGAAATGCTTAATGAGCCCTTCTTCAGAAACCCTTTGAGAGCCACTGAGAATAGAAATATGTTTAAAAAAAATATCATGGATACCCCAGAACCTCAAAGAGCAAAGGAGGTAATGTGGCCTGGAACATTCGGGAAGACAGGACTTCAGATTACTCTCATGTCCTGAGGCTCTGCTAAAGAGCACTGGATTTCTCAGCACCTTCCTTTATTACAATGAAACCTGTGAGAGCCAGAACTCATTGGGACTGCCTTGTTTTTTCTGAACTCACAAGTTTTCCACCTTTGACAGGTTTCAGGGTACCACTTTTTTATAGCTCTTTATTAGTAGAAAATACTTGAGTTTTCCTTCTCTGACAGGTTTCCACCTTGCTTTACACAGGTTCTGGCTTTTGCAGGTTTTACTGCATTTTGTAAAAGAGATAGGAAAAGTTGTTTAGCCTCTAAAGCCTCAGGGGAAAAACCTCCTCCACTGACAGACATTATATAGAAGGGACAAGGACAAAACACGTACTATGATGACAGCATGTCTATTTTAA